GGGGAGAAGGCAAGTGCATTATGGACAGGGTGCAGTATTCAGAAATTTACATCGGGTAAAAGCAGGGTAGTGCATGCCAGAATCCACAACATTTGCAAAGCTGCTGGAGCTTGAAGTGTCAAACATGAACTGGTAAGAGAAGTGACGGGAGAGGGGCCACGCTGCAGAGCTGCCTTAATTCTCTGGGTAGTGCTGAGTTATTGAAGAGTCTAAGCAGGAGAGTGACAGGTTCAGATTTAAGTTTTAGAAGGATTGCCCTTGTGACTATGCAGATTTTGGATGAGAAAATGACAAAACTAAAGCCAAGGAGAACAGTTAAACTGCTGTAATATAGGAGGGAGTTGTCGAACTAGGGAAGATGAGGTGAGGAATTGAGAGGATAAATGAGGAAAACATAGACGATAAATTGGCAAGATATAATGTGGACTGAAGATAGGCAAACAGAAAGAGGGAGGAGGCAGGAAAAACAGGTAGGTGTGTGCTGGGCATGAGTAGGCACAACAAATTCAGGGGGTGAAAGTAACTTTGGAGAGGAAGGTGGGCTCAGTTGGGGGTACGTTTTTGTTTGAAGCTGCTGATAGAATACCCAGGTGGGAGTTTCAGCAAGTATGTGTCCATATTTGTGTGAAGCTCGAGGTCTGAAGGAATCTATACTAGAGGGGCAGACTTAGCAGTGAACCTGCATGGACACCAAAAAGAAAACTTTAGAAATGAACGAAGCCCAGTAATTCCACTGCTAATTATACACCCAAGAGAAATGAAAACGTATGCTCACACGAAAACCTATACACAAATGTTCACAACAGTGATATTCTTAGCCCAAAGGTGGAAATAACCCAAATACACATTGACTAATAAATGGATAAATAAAATGTGGTATATTCATACAATGTAATATTATTCAACAGTAAAAAGGAATGAATTCTGATCCATGCTATAACATGGAAGAACTTTGAAAACACTATGCTAAGTGAGAGAAGCCAATCACAATAGACCACATATCGTAAGATTCCATTTAAATGAAATGTCCCAAATAGGCAAATTGATAGAGACAGAAAGTAGATTAGTGGTTGCTTAGGGTTGGGAAGGGTGGGGCACTAGGTGGCAATACCTACAGAGTATGGGATTTCCTTTTTGGAGGTGATGAAAAATGTTCTAAAATTGACTGTGGTGATAGTTTCATGTATCTGTGGAAATACTAAAAAATACTCAATTGCACACTTGAATGAGAGAATAGTATGGAATGTGAATTATATCTCAATAAAGCTGTTTTTTTTAAATGGAAAAAAAAAAAAAGAATGCGAGCACCCAGGGAGAATATGCATCCTGAGAATAGCCATGGGCTATTCTCTTGGAGAATAGCCAAGGGTTCCAGATGGAACCCTTGGGATGTTTCCACAGTAGGGGCAGCCTGAGGTGAGCCAGGGAAGGACTCAGAGAAAGGAGGACCTGAGAGAAGTGTGAGGAGAAACACGAGAGGCAGTCACACCACAGCCAGAGCAGGAGAGGGTCCAGTAAGGGGAGGAGCCGGTGCCAAAAAGAGCAGGGAGAGGGCTAGTGTGATGAGGACTGGAAAACATCACTGGATTTGGCAACTAGGAATAAGCAAGTACCTGCCCCCAGGTAAGTGTGGTGATTTAGATGTGCATGGGCAGGTGAGGAAGTAGAGAAACAGAACAAGAAACAACATTAACTCACATGAAACAACACTGCTTTTAGTTGTTAGATACATGATAGAGCCATTCTACTATTAATAGATTGTGTTTGAGGAGAGGCAGAAAGTTTACGGAGACCCAAGCTAGGGGAGTCAAACAATAAACTGCTTATCTGTCTCCATTTCTGAACTCAGATCTATTTTATTCTATCCATTGCTTCTGGTCAGTATATAAACTGCAGGACCTGAAGAAAAGCATTGACTCGAAGTAATCATGTTCTGTGACATATCACATTTCTTGCCCTACTGGGGTGGCTATGGTGTGGCAGGGACCACCCACCAAGTAAAGACAATCAGAAAAGTACAGACCTGACAGAAGTCAGATAGGCATAGTAGGATCTTTTCATTATACAGCGGGGAAAACAGAAAGTTAGGTGACATGTTCAAGGTCGTAGAGTTTTCTGTAAAAGAGCTAAGGCTAGAATCCAGATTTCCTAACTCTCAGCCAGATGTCTTTCCCTGAGACTCACGCTGACTCCCTAACAAAAACACTGGGTGCAGAACTGGCTTCTAATTTTCTCACCGTCTCATAACCTCAGAATCTGGAGATTCTGCTGTACATTTATCTGACTACGTAATTAGACTAGTAATGGCTATTAAAGATTTTGACTTTACTACCTAATAACTCTCATTTTATTTTGTATATTTCCTCATCAATTAAAAACATGTTGCGAGGTATTTTTGTATATCTATACCATTCAAAATTATTTCATAAAAATGAGAGGATTTAACTTTTGCATACCGTTGAATGAGTTACGTGCCCCTCCCTCACCTTTTTTTGAGATGAATTCTGTTATGGATCCAGATTTCTGCTTGGAAATCTCTGCTGCTGTTGAATATTCAAAATTTTCCTTTAGATTCCACTCACCAGAATATGTGTTCCCAAAGGAACTATTTTCCTCATCTGAGGAAAATCAAGGAGAATCTCATCTGATAATCTCTCTTCTCCTTCTCCCTTCCCTACCACTGTCCCCTACCCAAAAGACCCTTAAAATCATAAATTTATATCCACAAAGCTCTGGCAATGGTCAGACTTGAAGACTTTCATTAAGTTGAGGTGGTTTGGATCTGGCAAGAAAAAATTTGATAGGAAATACATTTATCCACTTAAGGAAAGGTCACCTATATCTACAGCTGGATATCCCACAGGTCTGTATACAAAGCCATATATCCCATACTGAATTCATTGTATTACTCTGTTGAAGACTATCTATTCCTTCTCTGAATTTTTTAAAACTAAATGTATTAATATTGACTTAAGAACCCAAGTTTCTATCTCTGTTTCCTTATTTATTTCCTTCACATGGTTGTGCTCCTTTCTATTTAAAAATAGTTTCTAAAATCTACCACTTAATTGTTTTTTTCTTAGTTTGGGCCCTGTGATCTTTAACTTAGATCACTAAGATGTTCTTCTCACATATCCGTCTTCTTGTTTTCAGGACCTTTTCCTACAACATTGGTAGAACTACTTTCTGTGACTCATTACTTGGATAATCATGTCCAACTCTGGTATGCAATCTAGTGATTTTCCACCTTTTACCACTGTTCCTCATAACATTTATTCTTTAATTTTAGCTAACTTGCCATATTTTGAAGCTGCCACCCCCTTTCCAAATCTGTGTGTTTGCATTGTGCATTCCTTTATGACTGAATAGTCCTTCCCACTTAAACTAGTTACTGAGAGTGAGAATTTACTCATTCCGCAAAGGGCGTTCAAATGTCGTGTCCTCTGGGAGTCTGTCTCCAGACTTCATGCATTTGTTTGCTTTCCCTCAGAAATATTCATCACTATTCTCACTGTGTTAGTGCCCCTATGATGGCTCCAGTATTTGTCACATTACATCAGAGTGCGCTGGGGAAATCTGTCTCTCCAGTTGGATTTTGCATTTCTTGAATTCTTTGGCAAAGTTTTACACATTCACTCATTTTTGTAAGTGTTTATCATAATATTTGGTGTGTAGCCGTCACATACAAAATGTGTATTTGCGATTGAATTGAACCTCTAGCGTTTTGCTATTCTTCATTAGTAGAAAAATGTTTATGTTTATTAGGTTTACGGTAAGTCCCTCCTCTTTTGTAGTAGAAATATTTATCTTTTTGTCTTGTTACAATAGGAACATCTGCTAATTAATGACACCATGTGTTGAGTGTCTGTAATGTTGTGCCAAGATCTAATCTGAATAACCATTCTTTTTTATCATCATGTACACAGATTAGAAGCAGATTTTGAGGTGCTGCCCAGTAGGCCCTTCCTCTACTAGAATGTGAAGCCACATTTTTATTACTATTAATTTTTCCTTTCCATTGTCAACATCTTTCCATGTATTTTTCTAAATTCTGTCCCCCAGAGTCCTTCCCTCAAACCTTAAGAACCTAGAGACTCTACTAACTTCCTCTAGAGCAGTGATCCTCAGCTGAGGGAAACTTTGTCCCTGAAGGACATGTGACAATATCTGGAGACATTTTTGATCGTCAGAACTGAGAAGGTGCCCCTGGCATCTAGTGGGTAGAAATCAGAGTTCTTGCTAAATATCCTACAATGCACAGGATGGCCCTTGCAACAAAGAACTGTTGGGTGCAAAATGTTAATAGTCGTGAGGTAGAAAAACGTTGTTGTTCTAGAGGATGCTGCCCAGATAATACTTCCCAGTTTTTCCTGTAGAGATAGAAAGTCCATATTCCCTGCATTTCCATGTCTGGGAATTTCCATGCCTCAGGTATTTAATCAATATGAGCAACTATATCATGAACAAATGAGGAACTGTGAGCAGGAAGGACCAAAGCCTGGAGACCCTGACCACCTTTCATTCATGATCTCAAATCATAGAGAATGAGAAGGCTTTAAGAAAAAAAAAAAGTATAATAGATTTTGTTTGTAGTTTCTCTCCCACTACTGGGTTAATTCCTAGTCATTTAGGAAATGTGCAACAGAAGAGATTTTAAAGAAACGTGACACAAATGCTGAGGTAGTTGTGAGTAAGATATCAAGTTAATAATATATACCAATGACCGTTTTTAAACAATGGGGAGAAAAACGGATGCACATAATGAGTATGTTAATGGCAGCACTCCATAGCTCTCCTTCATGATCTTGTCTGATGGAGAATGGTTTGAAATTGCTATGATATAAGCTGGAGAAAAGTGCTTTGAGAGTACTGAATGTAAAATAGAAGCAATAGAGATGTCACAAATCCCAGCAGGCTGGAGGAAGAGAAGCCTATTAAAATGTGTGATCCTAGAAGAAATTGTTTCTAAAATTGACGACAAACTACTTATCAACCAATACTTGCCATGTGCACTTCAATCTCATAGCCTGCACTCACCTGCAGGGTCACAGGGGATGGCTGACTTACATCCCACACTCCCGGAGCTATCATTTCTAGGGGCGGCTCACTCTGTAATGTCACGCTGAATAGCATAGACCCAAGAATGGATTTTCTGCAAAAGACAACACATACAGACAGACAGGAGTCATTTCATGAGGCGAGCTATGATTATCTGTAAATGTTTTCTTTTGGAATGTAAACATAATCAGCTATTTTAGTGGCTTTATTCAGTTGCTAGAAAAGAAATCAGATATTCCACAAGCCCAGACACTGATTAACAGTTCATTTCTAATATACCACTTGCATGGCTATTTTCCTAGATGCCTACATTTATTTTCCACATGAGAAACCACATGTTTACTCACAATGGTTTCTAATGGGTAGCATTTAGTCTTAATTGCCAACAATGGTGATTACAAGGTGAGACTAAGAATCTCTGATTTATATTCTTGTAGTTAACGGCTGCCTTAAGTCAGTAAAGATGTCAAGTCTTCAGAACGTTTTTTTTGCTCCATGGAGTGACTAAATTCCCTAGGCACCTTTAAAGATATGAGTACTAAATTTATAGAGGAAAAAGATTTAAATTAGCATAGCATATGATCTGCAGAATAAAAATAGTTATGGGACTTCACAGAGGAAATGCTTCTTTATGTATAAATAGAAAGATTATTTAAACGGAATGTTTAAAAATTGGTGGCAAATTACCATAGCAAATGAGGGTGCATACAGGAAAGATTTTAAACAGGGAAGAATTCATGGATGGTTTTAACAGCTTCAATAACATCCAAATCTACAGATCTCACATGGATTATAAAAGAAGTTACTCCTGGCTGTGTATGAGAGTCAGAGTAGTGGTAAAACGTTCCAATGATCGCTGAGAACAGCCTTTGGTTTTAATATGCCAAATTGAAGATGTAAAACTGAAAGTCAACAAAATTTAAGTTCATAAAGAACTTTAAAGCATCAAGTGAGTCTTTCTAAAGACAATATAGAATTCCATCTTGCCATTTAACAGATACTATGCAAAACATGAAGGGAAAAAAATCCAACAAATAAAGTTTTCTTTAAAGTTTTAGCTTTCTGAGGCCTGCTTTCTCTATTATTTTCTCTGTTTAAAGATATTATCAGAAAATATGTGTCCAAAGGGAATATCATTTGCAAATGTTATTGGGAAGATATTTTTATATGACCCAAGAATATTGTTCTGTCACGATGAATTTTGAGACTTCTTTATCCCTTTCTTCCATCCTCCCTCGTCTGAAGAAAACTTGTTTGGGTATGACAATACCAGGGTGCCAGTATTAGTAAGGTAAAGGTTAGTTTAATAGGAGTGAAGATTGGAAAATTCGTAATGCAGTTTTCCCCTTTGTCTTTAAGAGCATATCATCTTGAACCCCAAATGGCCCAACCTCCATCTGCCTGGGAAAAGTTCTGGATTAGTGTCAGGCAGAACGCAAGAGGAGGAGGAGCAGGTCTCACACCAAACTTGGAGGGCTCAGGTAATAATGTTCTCCACAGCATTTAGAGAAAATATTTCTGTGAATGGTCAATAGAGCTGAGGAAGGAGAAGGGTGTGGCATGATAGATGGGAGAACGTGACACCAGGAGAGCCTGCCACTTTCTGGCAATTGGAGGGTGGCAGGCAGAAGCCAGGGAAGGAGCAGAGTGAGTGCAGCTGACATAGGGCCCCTGTTTGCCTCTTCCCTGTCTTTGGAAGCAGATGGGAGGAATGTGAGCCAAGTGAGCGTAACCTAACATGGGAGGCAGCGGGCTCCTTTTCTCACTCCCTGTTTCAGATCTTGGAAGGAAACTATCTCTTGAACCTGCTCTGTACCGACTTGTAGCATGACCATTAAATTTGGCGTCACATGGTTAAGAGGCAGAAGAAACTCCCGAGTTTAGCTTTTTGGGAGCTTTTTTGGTTTCTGGGTAGATGAGATGGGATCTAGAAATAGCCAAAGGTATTCAAGAGGGAGGTTTCCAGAAAGGGGTTCACCTGTGGTGATAAGGGCCTCTGTGATAAGGGCATCTTATTGGACCACCCCAACTGAGGTCAAATGGAGGTTGCTGGCAAACTTCAGATGGGTCTATGGTGCCTGCGAGAGCCTAGAGAGTGCCAGGAACCCTGGACAAGCTGTGGGAGCCCCATTCATAAGCTGAGCTAGCTGCAGACTTCCGCTTTGCCAAGAAGCCAACAGCTTTAAAAGTGACTTTGATTCAAGTATCAGAAGACACCAAGCCAAAGGATCTCATTTTCTTTTCTTTTGTGATCTTGTGTTCCTTTCTTCTCTTAGGAAGAGAAGCGGAGTATAAGGAAGATATCTGAGTGACCGAGCATTTTTATCCAAAAGAGACTGCATACTTATAATAGGGCTATCTAAATTACTGAGGTAACGAATACTTTGTCATAGATGGAAAGTTTTTTCTCCTCATTAGTTATAGGGTGGGAGCTCATGAAAAAAAGTGTGATATGGTAGTTGTATTTTTTTCTTCATACCTAAATTGTAAAATGTGTTATATTTGTGGCCTTACCATATTTATATATCTTGGCCATGCTTCACTCTGAAAATCAGAGTGATCTAAGCTGGTTCTAATAGAGGATAAAGGGACTCAAGAATCTAATGGTAAATACCTGCCATTTCTGTCTTTAGACAGAGTCTGGGTCAACAGTTATCACGATCATTATGCTGAGGCACATGGGGCAGAATGAAGTCACTTGATGTGGGCATGTGTATGGGGGGATGTGTCAAGAAGTAGGGAACAGGGAGAATGAACTTCTAGCTTCCAACGAGGCTGATATAATATGTACTTTAAGGCCATGGAAGGGGGAAAGAAAATAAATGTTTGACACCATTTTGCAGGCTCTCTGCATGTTTGATATTATCTAATCTACTTTCTGATAATGGACTGTGCTGGAATATCTTTTTAGAAATTGGAAGCATAATGGAGGAAATGCATTTCAATAGACTTCTGTAAATGGAAAATATGAGAAAGATGATTAGTGGGACTGAGATGTGAAAAGATACATCTAAGAGTGTCAGTGGTTTCAGAAAGAAGATGAAAATGGAAACTTTTAACACCAGGCAAGTGGAGACCACCTTTTTTTTGTTGTTTAATTACTACCACTGTGAAAGGTTTGTTAAGTCAGTTAAAATTTAACAAATGAAAAAGTTGATGGAGGCAGGATATATAGAAAACAGCTTCATATAATGGAAAGAACACCAGACTCTGTGCCAGGCCATCTGGAGCCTGTCTTCATTAACTGTCCTTAATTAGCTTAACTTCTTTGAGCTTCTTGGACAAAATTAATGGTTTTCCAGTGTTTTCATATAGCTTTGAGGTTCTATTGATGTTTGAGGGGGGGCTTCAGAAAGATGGTGGGGAAATGACAATTCGTTTGGACTACAGGATTTCAAATTCCACACAGCAAATACATGGACTATTCATTACTCTTACACTTTAGGTTTTGGAACACAATGTTATTAGGAAAAGGACTACACTGCTAAATGTATTTGTTCTGGAATACTTTTACAAATATTTTCAATTTAACTATTGTACAGATTTACTGACTAGAAAAACCAACCCAAAATTTGTGGTACCAGGAGAACTGATGGGCTGGTTTATTCTCTCTGGGCCCCTTGTTTCCTCAAGTAAGAAAATAAGGTGTAGAAATAAAACAATTATCAATTTTAGCCATAGGATTCTACACATCCATTGCTGGCATTCTGGAACCAGAGAAGAAAAAGGCCCCAGAAATGGGCAGCCAGTAGGAGGAGAGGATCTGATGTTACAAAACTCTTTGGGTTGCTGACTCTAATAGAGCTGGTAGGTTTCATGTCCAAGAGCAGAACCCAGGGGAGGCTGAGGCAGGAGCCCTTTGTCAGGTAGTGAGGTTTTTACAGGGTTCATGGAGTAAGCCATGGCACCTGAGAGCAGGAAGGGAGGCAGCTTAAGGTAGTAAAGCTCAGACCTGCATTCTAGTTCTTGTTCTATTTGTAAATAGCCTGGTTACTATAGCAAGTCTTTTAACTTTCCTTCACTATAGAGTTCTTCATCTGTAAATGAGGTATTTGGACTAACTGAGGGTCTCTCTTGGACAGGAAAGAAAAACAATAGGAATTCTCATCCACAATTTATTTTGTTATTTGATTTTGAAGATATATCTGAAATAATTAGATATGGGGGTGGGAGGTCAGGCTTGGCTATTCAGGTAATTGTCTAAGGAATCTAATTTTTTGAGATTAAGATTTATTTTAGGGCTGTTTTGGAATTCTGCAAAAGATTCTAGTTTTCTCAGGCTTTAACTCACCTTGGGACCTTTGTAAATACTGATGATTAGACCAGATCACAGATCAATTAAATTAGAATCTTTGAAGGTATTTGGGCTTTGGGTTGATTTTAAAAACTTCCCAGAAAATTCTATTGTTTAATTAGGGTTGAGAATCTCTCCATTAAAGTAGCTTACCACAACTGACAAATGCTAAGTAACTACCATACTATTAGTTTTCAACTTAAATAGGGATGGGAGCTCGTGGGAATTGTTGAGGTGAAGATAACACTTTCTTGTTGCATTGTGGAGAGAGTATGAATGCAGATGCAGTAGAAGTCTTGTCTGCAAAAGAGGGGATTATAAAACTTTTGTGGGCAAAATTTTACCTTTGGACTTGAGACTTTTTTTTTTTAATAGAATTGAAGATGAGTTTGCATGCTTGAAAATGTAGAGTTTTATTGATGTAGCCCTAACTGATTTATCTGGGTTTAATCACCATTGGTTCTTCTGAAACTCAATTCTAGAAACCAAAATGAGATCGGAAGCCTTTAATTCTGCATATTCTCAGTTTATATGTATGTTGGAAAAAATAATGACATAAGTGCTCATTACAACTCCACATGGCTAGCTATGGGCAATTCAAACTGTAATGAAAGACAGATTCAATACCAAATGTTTACAGGCAGGGGTCATTCTATGAAAGGAAATGAAATTAAGTCACCAATTTGCTGTGATCTGGAAATATCTGCATCAAATAAATTGGATTAGAATCTCTGTAACTCGGAGCAACGAGCAAAGTGGGAGTCATCACTTCTCCCCAACTGCCTGCCCCACAGAATGGATTTCTAATGTCTTAAAACAATCTGGATTTCTTTGAATCGTTTAGCTTAGAAGAGAGGCAGATTTTCTGATTTTCAAGAGAAACGGTGTGTTCGAAATATATTTACAAATGCTTATTAAAGTACTCTTTGAAGTAAGTTGTGTTTTCTGATGTCTCATCATCCACAATTTTGACACTTTCCCATAGAAAACACCAGCTAGGATCCATCCCAGATGGCATTTCTCTCAGATTCCCATCTTCTATGATCATTCACCTATAAAATGTTTACCAATGGAAATGGTATATGACAAAACAGCATGGAGGCAGCATTCTTACGATCATAATCATCTAGAAAAATGCCTTGAAAATTAGTTTGAATTACAAAGAATATTCCCAACTTCTTACATATTTAATGTTTATTGATTGTTACATGCTAAGTAGTATTTTAGGTGATAGGAGAGAATAAATGGAACTTTCTTTTCAGTGAGTAGCTGGAAGTAATATATGCTACAAAAATGCTAGATCTTACAAATATTGCTGTTGAAACTTTAAAGAAACTCACTCATGAGAAGGAAGGACACTTGTGTAGCTGCTCCTAATGAGAAAGGAATGAGAGTTCTTAGCACATAAACCAGACTTTTGAAATGTCTGCTAACAGCAGTAGGTATTCCTTTTTGGGAAAAACTGTTTCTTGTAGACTTTTGAAATCTTATTTCATTCTAAATATCCTATATTGGGATTGATTTTTTTTTTTTGCCAATTCAATTTAGTAAACAAACCTCTACTGATTGCCTATTTATATGAGGCACTATGTTAGATGACAGATATTACAAAAATAAATACATTCCCTGTCCTCCGGGAACACCCATGGAAATGGGCTAAAACACGAAAACAAATAACAGAGTAACACACACATGTGTGCACACACACACACACACACACACACAGCCCAGATCAGAAGTAACCCAATAAAGAAAATTTTAAGATTTGTCATGGTTACTTTGATAATAATTTATACATATTGCCTAGATGTGGGAACTAAACTCTTATGAAGAATTGATTTTAACATTTTTGTATTGCCAAATCTTTCTAAACCATCGGGGAAGAAACATACTTTAGAACAATATTGACATCACCATACAGATCCTAATTTTTGGAGGGTACTGAATTTTACCATTTGATTCTAAAGAAAAGTCTTGCTGTGTGAAAAATAATTAGCTTATTTTTTTGAAATATTTTTCTCTCAATAGCATAGAAAATCATGTAATTGATTTTATCAGATTAGACTAATAATTCCCAAGCCTTATACTTAAATCAACAGTTAATTTTGCAATGGCCATTAGTTCTGAGAGAATATCTGAACTCATAGTTGGTCTACTTTTCTGAAAAATATCATCTGAAAGTTACTAAATATTTCTTCTTGACAATAAAAGTTCAGTAAACCAGTTACATTGTGTAATTTTACTTTAGCCAGAATTCCATGACTTACATTCCTTCTAAATGACAGTATTAAACCAAATCATTTTGAATAACTAATTCCAGAGGAGTTGGTTGGTGAGAGAAAGGAAAGTAATTGAGATTGGTCATGCCAATATCTCTTTGTTGTAAATGACCCAGCTGACAAGTTGAGCATGAGGGCTGTTTCCAAAGCCATTTCTACATTTTTACCTTTCAGTTCTGTTTTCAGTAGTCATGATTTATACTAAGCTACCTCAATTTTAGAATACAATGTCTTCTTAATTTTCTCACACCATATACTGCAAAATATTTAGTTCCAAGGATATTTTATTGAAATGGGACTTTTATTAACCACAAATGATGTACTTACTCTTTTGGAAATAATGGAAGACAAGTCCAGGCCAGTAGATTCGCATTGTTGGTTGCAAAGACAATCCCATACAGTTTTATGATGAGCATGGATTCCCTTGGAAGTGACTTTATTTCTAGAGGAAAATTGATTCTAAAAATTAAAGAAAGAAGTAGCATTATCTACCCAATTGCAATGATATTTTTATAAAAAAAGTTTTTAGTGTAATGGTCTGGGACAAAACTATTTAATTATTTGAATTTATGTATTCTCTTGAAATATTTTGTATCATCTTATAAGAATGGAAATAACAGAAATACACAGAGTAAAGAAATTTGTTAATCAATGGGAATTACTCCTTATAATTTTGACATGTAAGTTTATTTTTAAAAATTACAGTAACTTCAGCATTTACTCACAAGTTATCAGAAGCAACAGATGAAAGAATGACTTAGGAAGTCATTGTCTCAGGGAGTTGAAGATGGCAGGAAATAAATGGGTCTTAAAGAGTAAGTCAGCTATAATGAGATGGAGATTTTGAAAAGAATTTTCCAGAAAGACAAAAGTGGATGGACAAGGGTATATATGCATGAAAAGATTAAGTGTATCTGAGAAATGGTGAATGGCTCATTATGGCTGAAACAAAAGATGAGGTCACATTGATAGGGGAAGTTGCAGAGGATGTAATTACTAATAGAAACATGGTTGGTTGCCAGAATGCTTATGAATTCTGCATCCAAAGGAAAAAACAAAAAAAAGAATTCTGCATCCAGGCAAAGGAATTTGAACTTTTCCTTAAAGTTAAAAGGAAATAGCTGGGCACGGTGGCTCACGCCTATAATCCTAGCACTCTGGGAGGCCGAGGCGGGAGGATAGCTTGAGTTCAGGAGTTTGAGACCAGCCAGAGCAAGAGTGAGACCCTATCTCTACTAAAATTAGAAAAAATGAGCTGGGCAACTAAAAATAGAAACAAACAAACAAAAAAATTAGCCAGGCATGGTGGCGCGTGCCTGTAGTCCCAGCTACTTGGGAGGCTGAGGCAGAAGGATCTCTTGAGCCCAAGAGTTTAAGGTTGTTGTGAGCTAGGCTGACACCACGGCATTCAACTGTAGCTCAGGTAACAGAGTGAGACTCTGTCTCAAAAAAAAAAAAAAAAAAAAAAAAAAATTAAAAGACAGAGCCAAAAGTATAGAAAGTTGTTTATAATTTTAAATTTAGACTGTTTTGGATAATGATGAGGTCCCAGTAATTTGGGTGTGATCACTGAAATGTAATGTATGTATTATACAATTTCTTGATATGTTAAGGTCAAGGTGCTTTCAGTGCAGATCCTGGATGGATTGTAGATACTGGAGAAAAAAAAAAGCCATTAAGGATAAACACAGGATGTTAATAGTGAGAAAAACATGAGTTTGGGTGTTGAAACCATAAATATATAGAAGGGAGTATCTAAGTTTATATATTATACTATAAGACTGAGAGGGGTATACATGGGTGGCATGATTGTCTGAGAAGGGGCTTCTGACAGAAAGTTGAGAGTGCGATCTGATGTTCCTATTAGTAGGGGGGGAGACAGGTACATTTCTTTCTTTTCTGGTGTCATCCCAGTTATATAGAGATGATCGAGTTTGTTACAGGAGCCTCAGGAGAAGCACAGTTTTAGCAAAGAACTGTCTATGAGACAAGCAGATGAAGGAAATATTTTTCAAGGGGCTAAGATAGGGGAATATGTTTACCAGAAAGGAGAATGCTAGGGATGAATGGGAAAATTGGAGCAAAGGCTGGCACACAGGGGCAAGGGTCATGGGAACTGAATCATTGTGAGTGGGAAGAAGGCAGAGGAAAGAGACTGGGAGGGTGACTGCGCGGCCTGTGTGGAGGATGCCTGAGGGCGTGAGGTGTGAAGAGAATGAACAGAGTCCTCTGGCCTTGAGAGTCCCAGTTGAACTCTGACAACAAATTGTGTAAGCGGTAGGTGACTATTAGAGGACTGATGATGACTGAAACCTATTGTCCCACTGAAAGGTGCTAACTGAGCTTTGCCCAGCTGAATTCTCAGGTAATAGTGAGTGTCTTCTCACACTGGGAGTTGTCTTTCTAATCTGCAGACAGGAAGCAGTTCTTACTCAGGGTTTCAAATCAAATATTAACAATCCGCTTTTTCAGTGGCTTCACAGCATCCAGCCTTGGAGATAACAGGAAGTTAATTCAGCTCAGTGATCATAACTGAGCCAAGGATGGGGAAATCCCTCTCCTCAACATGGTGTTCCCTGAGATGCTCAGGTCCACATCCAGGGTGCTCACAGAGCAGCTAGCAGGATGAAAGAAAGAAGATGTATTTTAGAGGTAAAATGGATAACCGCTACTTGGCTGACAGAATAGTTGTGGAATAGGACAATGAAGAGTTAAAGATGAGTTCTAGTTTCTAGATGAGGATATAGCAGACATCTTTAACTGAGAGGGAACACAGAAGAAATGAGGAAGTTGGGGGGAATAATAAGTGCAGTTTAGGGCACGAAGTCTTTGAGTTAATAATAATTGTGACATGTCAATATATAATCTGTGTGTGGAGAGGATGAGTCCAAGTTGTGGATTTGGGTATGTCTACGTTTAAAGATTGGTCCCAGTGACTAAGACGTTCCCCTTGAGCAACACATTGAACCTTTCTCTGCCTTATTTTTCCTTATTCATAAAATGGAACTACTATTATATAACACAATATGTGGCACATGGTAGGTTGCATATCAGCATTATATCCATTTATTCAATCAGTAAGGTAATAATTTATATTAGTCACTGTGCATTTAATACTTAGATTTATAAAAACACATTTCATGTAGATAGATGAAATGTAATTCTTGCTAAACATAAAGGAGGGAAATAAAGGAAAGACTAGAGTGCAAAAATTCTTATATTTTTAAAGATTAGCAAATTTTAGATTATTAAAATATTAAATTGTTACATGTTTAGGTATCTAAAACTAAAACTCTTTTCTTT